GCCCTAGAGCCGCCGGGGGGGGTGCGTGGCAGCCGCGCCTCCAGAGGGGGCTGCGTTTCGGGGTCCCCTTTGTATCCGTGGGCAGGTTTAGCTGCGACAGGTAAAACTCTTGCTGCCTTGCTCTCTCCGGGGTTTGTGTCCCCGCTCTGAGCCCTCGCCAGCCCGGGGGGTTGGGGCGCGGGGCTGTAGCCTGCGGCGGCCCGGGGTGCCGCTGCCCGCTGGGTTGGGGTGGGCAGCGCTGGCTGCAGCAGGCGTGGTGGAACGTGGGTTTGCTCTGTGCCAGCTTCCTGGGTTCCTGCAGAGATAGGCAAAAATCGAAATCAGGCCTGCTTCCACAAAGAAAAACCAATTCTCAGTGGTTTCTGTGGTGTTTTGGTTTATTTTTTCTGGGAGTATGTGGTGCAGTTGATCCCCAGAAACTTCTCAAGAGCAACTAAAGTGAGTCAGGCGGTGGGAGCATTTGTTGTGCTGAGCCTTCTATTTCTCTTTCTACCCAGCTGAGTCAGAAGAACTGCCTAGTGAGGAATCCGAAGAGTTTTCGGAAGCAGTTAGAAAGAGAAGCAGGGAGGTTTGAGGCGACAACATGTGCCTTTATTCCAGAGACCTTCAGAATGCTTTCAGAGTGCCATTTGTTTGTGGAAGAATTTCGCAAGAATTCTGGCACTGCTCGGATTATGAAACCGGTAAGTATGTGGTCTCCCCGGGAGAGCGAGACGGAGATGAATGGATGCCTTCGTTCTGCGGAGGGAGAGGAAAATATGCAGGAAATCCACAGGAAGACCTGGGCAGAGCAAGGTGGCGGGAGCAGGAGTGCTCCTGGCCAGTTTCCTGGTCAACACATACCACCAAAACACTTCTTCTTGTGTCACAATTTATTTCATCAGTCGAGAGAAAGCTCGGTTTCTTTACAGAGCCAAAGTTAACTCAGTGGTGAAGGTATAAAGTGCAGAGCTCTTGTGTGGAGGAACAGACTGCGCGCCCGGGGGGCTCGCTGTGGGGTTACGGCCGAGTTCATGCTCCGAAATCTTTTGGTTTGGCTGCAGGTGTGCCAGAAGGGGGGTGCAGGGCAGCTGTCTAATCGGGCGTCTGGTGAAGCAGCGTTCTAGGGCAGCCCCTGAAGAAGGAGCTAGGAAAACATCTGCTTGGTTTGAGGGAAATCCGACTATGTTAGGTGTCAGCTGGTGTGAGCCCAGCCAACCGACAAGGAAAAGCTGTGTTTCCTTTAGAAATTAAAACAATACAATGTGGCGCTGAGAAACACCTCGCTTCTGCCAGATGATTCAAGCCATCTAACATCATGAGTATCGCGCTGCGGTGCATAATTAAAAATACACCCATCTGTGAGACCTGGGAGCGAGCAGCCGCGGGGAGGATTCGCCCCACCCTGCGAGTCAGGCCCACGGGTAAGGGCACACTCGTGAGAAGTGCATGGGAGGTAATTATGCAAACTAACGCGAATTACAGCCAGGAGGATAGCAGCTAGTGATTATCTAACTCTACAAATGGGAACGTGTTAATTGGCAACAAAAAGCCTTCTATTAAGCTGCTTTTATGCCCACAACCTCAATTAACGTGGTAAATAACCAGAGGACAGTAAACAAGGGTATACAAAAAGCCTGCGATTACTGAAATTATACCAACAACTTAAATGAAATAGTTTGTGGCTGACCCCAGAACTCGCAGACAAGTAAAAATAAACTCCATGTTACTCCCTGTGTCAGTCTGTGCTCCGCGTGGTGATGTCTCAGGTCGCTGCCTCCCACACGAGGAGGTGGTCGGTCAGGATGCGCCCGGTGGCTGCAGGACCTCCCTGGGGCGCTCCTCGGGTGGCTCCTCTGGGCCACTCCTCGCCCGCTTTCAATACATCACGCAGCCTGGGCTGTCTTCAGGATTTTTCTGCTCTTGCTTGCCATAGTTCTCTGACATCTCTCATGACTTTCTGGTTTAATTAAGTTCTTCCGTAACATACACAAATTTAAAATGTGCCTTAACAAAATTCCCGACAGCATATGTTGTGTTACTTATGTTTCTGCAAGCATGTGACAGAGTTTGTTTATTCCTGTGGAACTTCCCTGTAGGCTGGCTGCCTGCTCTGCCCTTTTCCTCCAGGAATCCTCCTCACACTTACAAATCTGAGCGTTTTGCACTGCAGAGCTGTTGTTGGGTGTCCCCCCCCAACCTTAAATAACCGGTTGCACACAAACAGATGAACTGGGTTATGCAGGGCTTCCGCACTGACATTCTGGGCAACCACGGGAAGTGCAAATGTTAAAGCCTGTAACTCTGCTCTTCCATCTGTAGGTTGGCAGATCACGAGGTGAAGGAATTTTCCTCTTCTGAAAACTGAAGGATATCCTTGATTGAAGAAGGTGAGAAGGACTCTGTCTCCTCAGGGAACACCCAACAAGCATTTTCGGTTTCTTGCTCTTATTTCGTCCCCTCCTCCTGCCGGTGACTTGTTCTGTTCTCCTGTGCCTGTCTCCTGCAATACCCCCTCGCCATTCCCCAGGGCAACAGCAAAGTTTCTCACCGTGGCTTTTCCCAACTGGTCGGATACTTTATCTGGGATCTGACTTCCCACACTTTGTGTGCATAGTTATGTGTAAACCTCTGACCTTAGGTACGTCCAACACTAGGCAGCAGGATCAGCACCTGGGTTATATGATACATTTTTCTGCGTTTTTTGGTTGAAAGCTGACTTGAGAGTGTATGTAAGCGCAAGACCCTGTTATTACACCCGAGGAGGATTTCCCTGCCTTAACGCCGGTTGCTCCTTTCCTCTCCTCCCAGTACGTCCCGCTGAAGGCCTGGTTATGCAGAGGTGGATTTGCTCATTTTCCTAATAGTGATTTACTCTGAATAGCAGAGATGATCACTGTTCCCTGCCTGCGTGTGCCTGGGGTCAGACGCATCAGACCAACCTTGTCACTTCTGACTCCTGCAAACACCCGAGGGTCCGGCTGGCCTGTCACTGCCGCTCGCACCCGGCCTCTCCCCAGTCTTCTGTCACTGGAAAACGGGGGTCACCAGGTCACTGGAAATGTCAGTTTGACAAATCAGCTAGGACTGAAGCTGAAATGTCAGTCCTGGTTTTATTGTTTGTGGTTGAGCTTTGGCTGCCTGCCTTCCTCAGCTTCACAGAGCGTAAGGACAGGGGGGTTCATGGGAGAGAATGACCTGATTTCCTCCGTCACGCTTGCTGCTGTATTGACTTTGATACCTTTTGGGATGATGTGTTAATCAGATGAAAGCTATCCCAGCTCAGTTTGATGGCTGAGGAGATGGGAAAATCCATCACTTCTCTCTACCAAAGTTCAGCAGAGTTCGTGCTTGCTCCGCATGATCAACAGCCCTTCCAGAGCGGGGTACGGACGTGCCTCGGGTCGGGGCGTGCTGAGGTTTGCAGACGTGGTGACACCACGAGCTGCGTGCCAGCCGTGAGCTGCAGTTCTAGCTCGGGGCTGGCACTCTCATTTTCTAGATGCCCCTCTCAATTACTTCTGATCTTTGTTTTTTCCTGCCATGTTTAGTAAGACACCATCGTGTGGTGCTGGAGTTAAGCTCAGGTGGTTGAAGCTTCTGATTACAGACAGGGAAGATAATTAACGGGCACTGGGGCAGAAGAGGACTGTTTAGAGCAGAGTTCTGTATTTATCTGTCTGATCCTTATCTCTACCTCATTCCAGATGTTCTGACAGTGCCGGGAAGGTGGGAGGTTTGTGCTGCCTGCAGGCAGTTCCCCTGCTGCCTGCCGTTGGGGCATCTGGCAGGTGCAGGCAGGCTGCCCCCCCCCCGCCCGCAGCCACGCCGCGTGCTGCCGTGTCCCCCGACACCCATAACCGTGATTTCATTGAGAGCAGC